TAGTTAATATCTATAATCAAGGCATAGATAGCATCTTAAATAACCACCCCCCAATTATTGTTCTTCCGCCCAGAAGTGTAAACAGCTTCACTTAATAATGTTTAGAGTTCTTATCAGAGGCCTGATCTCTCTCTGAATTACCAAACCTGTTCATCCATCACCTACTAGGCATTGGTGCTTGGCTGTTCTCTGCAAACTCAACATGTCCAAGATTAAGACACCATGAACAAGATGAAACTCTTCCTCTTCCTGCAAACCCAGCTCATTCCTACTGTTCCCACTCTCAGTGATTGCTACCCTCACCACCCCGAAGCCCCACCTGACACTGAGATTCAGCCTCCCTCTCACGTGGTCAGGGCCGACTCCTGTGGTTAGACCTGCTAACTCTCCCTCCCCTCTCCACTGCACCTGGAATTAACTTAGTTTAAGTCTTTATCCTCTTCATCGGGAGCACTGCAATGGCCGCCTCACTGGTCTTCCTGTCTTCAGTTTAGTCTCCTTCTACCCATCTCAGAATTACCTTTCCAAAATTCAAATCACACCCTGACTCCCCACTTCCTACAAACCTTCAAAAATTCTCCATGGCTTCTGGCATAAATGTTCTCCCTTTTTACATAGGAAACTCCAGGACCTGTCCCCTGCCTACCCCACCACCCACTACTCGCCCACATGAGAATCATAGGAATTCACAATTATTTAGTGCACTGTTCCAAACACTTCTTATGTTATAGCTCTTTTAATCTTTCTAACATACCATGAGATAGGTACAGAGAGGTTATATAACTTGCCCAAAGACACAGCTGGTGAGAGCCAGGATTCAAACCAAAAGTTGCAGGCTCCAGCGTCCTGGCTCGTAGCTGTGACTAAGCTGCACAACCTTCCCATTGTATCTCACGGCCTTTACTCCAGCCATTGCAGTTCCTAAACAGTTCCCATCGCCCAGTTTTTTAAAAATTAATCCTCACCTGAGGATATGTTTTTGTTGAATTTTTAGAGAGAGGAAGGGAGAGAGCGAGAGCAAGAGCAAGAGCGAGAGAGAAACATCAATGTGGGAAAAACATTGATAGGTTGCCTCCCACACTTGCCCTGACTGGGGATCGACCCACAACCAAGATATGTGCCCTTCCCTGGAATCAAATCCAGAACCTTTTGGTGTATGGGACGACACTTGAACCAACTGACCACCTGGCCAGGGCACATTATCCAGGTTTTATACATGTTGTTCTCTCTACTTGAAATATCCTCCTTCTTTCTTTATCTAGCTTGCCCCACTTTGTAAGTTAAGGCTCCTTTGCGTTACTTCCTCCACTGATTCAACAAATACTAGTTTGGTGCCTGTTCTGTGCACAGATCCACTCCAGAAGAGCTTTGACAGCGGAATGTGGAGACAGGGGAAAAAAGACTATGATGTGGCCTATGGATGAATTGAGGGGAACATGAGTTCCCAGGATTGGGCCACACTAGGCCGCTCTGTTCCATCCCACACCAGACCTAAAGCCATAGAACTTTGGAGAGCCAAACCAGGACAAAACTGGATTCCAGATTCTAGAACATATAAGTATCATCTGATATTACACTTCACAGAATCAGAAAGTCTAAATCCTCACCCCTAGGAGAACCTACAGAAGCATCACAAACCAAATCCTTGGCCTTTCCCTCTTTAGTCAAAATACCACACTTTTCTCCCCTTTGACTTTTGATTCTTGAAACGATTCCAAGTATCATCTGATATTACACTTCACAAAATCAGAAAGTCTAACTCCTCACCTCTAGAAGAATCTAAAGAAGCATTGCAAACCAAATCCTTGGTCTTTCTCTTTAGTCAAAATACCACGCTTTTCTCCCCTTTGACTTTTGATTCTTGAAACGATTCCCGTGGGTTCTCTTAATAATAGTGTTATTGTGGAGCACCTTCAGGATTGCATCCTGTTGAAGACTGCCCTCTAGCCAGCTGTTTCCGGTTGAACTGACTGTCCAGGACCAAACTAGATATAACTTAAAATGCAGAGTGTGAGAGAGCCTGGGAGTATCAGTCCTGGCTTCCAACAAACAGTGGTTAAGAGGTAGTAACCAGTTCTGAGTTTGAAATCTGACCTATGACTTGGTCTTGGGCACATTACTTAAACTCTTTAAGCCTCAGTTTCCTCATCTGTGAAATGTGAATTATAACAATAGTAGCATATGAGATAATATATGTAGAGTGCCTGGCTAAGAGTAAAACCTGCATAAATATTACAGCCAATAATTATTATAAGAGCTATTATTATTGTTATTCAGGAGAATTGGATGAATGCATTAGTTCCATCTTAGTATCAATTCATCGTAATCTTAGGTTAAGCTCATATACCTTTGTGTATGCAAAGCTGTGTGTGTTTTTTTGTTGTTGCTGTTGTTTTGTTTTTAATAATTCTTTATTGTTGAAAGTATTACATATGTCCCCCTTTTTTCTCTCATTGACCCCCTCCAGTCTGCCCCCACCCCCCACCCTCCATCCCTATTAGTTGTGGTTATCTAAAATAATAACTCATGACTGTGCCATTATTTTACATAGTCCATGAAAATTTGGGAGTAATATTAAAGGCAGCTGATTTTAAAATATTTAATTTTTAAAAATTGTCTTTGACTACCTAATTTTTTATTTTATTTGTCTCTCCAAACCCCCACTTACTTTCCAAACATGCTATCTCTGTTACAGTGTAACAGAATCTAATTGCAGTTGATAATTTTAGAAAAATAGGTTAAAATGTTTATTCCTCCAGAAGAGCTTTGACAGCGGAATGTGGAGACAGGAAAAAAAAGACTATGATGTGGCCTATGGATGAACTGAGAGGAAGAACATGAGTTCCCA